AATATGGTTTGTGTCTCTTCGAGTGTTCATTTTTGCTTGAAGATTCTGTGCTTATCTTGTCCAATTTTGTATCCATTTCCTCATGTATGACTCCATAAAACGATGTAAAAGCTTTCGTTGCGTCTTTTTTGTTCTGCGAGTTCGACTTTGATCGGATCTAATCTCTTATGTAGCGCTATGAGCATACACTTCGTGTCTGGATTTGGCGCATTATAAATGTACTTATTATTATTATTATTATTACAACATCCTTCAACATATTACCACACAAGAAGTTCTCAGGTGATCTGAATACATTATATTTCGGTGCACTGACGTTGCCTCGCACTTGTCTGGACTCTTCATCACTGATACCGGGCATTGTGAAGGTCAGATCTAACAGAGAGTGGTCAGGAATACTGCTGCATCCAAACTGACTCGTCTGATTGATGACCTCAGACATCAAGTTCACATTGAAGTCATGAACACTGTCCAACTGTTCTTGTGGCACAATAAAGTAGCCAATGACACAATCATCTGCCTCGAAGTGACATAGACATATAGTTACTGCAGCCAACTCTACCATTTAAAACACACATGTTACAGACATTAAGGAAGTTTAACAGTAACTGTCCTGTTACATTTGTCACTTCGTCTAACAGTTCTCTCATTTTCACGTTATTCCCCCTCATATAAAGCTTGTATGTCAACACAGATAAGATCAACTGCATTGGTTTAGAGTTTAGAGTCGCTGTTTTATGAAACCAAATGTTGTCAAGCTAAAAAAGTGTCATACAAATTGATTTGAGGGGGGGGGGGACTTTCACTGTTTCTTCACATGCATAGGTGATGTCAGTATATGTTCTTTACATTGCAATATCATATCCAGACATACCATCCAGACGATCAAGTAGGGCTGTACAATGATTATTGTGCAAGGGTCAAGGTCCAGAGTATCACTGTTTTCGCCCAACTATCAACTGTGTTATAGCTATATTTACTGCTACCGCGGTTTTAACGACAACATTTTGACCCTATTTTCATTCACACAATACAGTTCACTCATACACGGAGACACATGAATGAACACATGCTCAGTCATTTTCTCGCAAGGTGACTGTCACTTGGATGCCTGATCCAGATTCGGTTTGTTTACAAACGACATCGTTCAGCTGTAATAGTACTGCTGAAACAAATATCATGATATAGTCACAATCGTAAAATCGACTCCACTTTTAGCAGAGATTTTTTTATGGATGGAGAAAGGGTTTTGTCCCTACTATTTAAATGCTTTATTGGGGACGTTTTAAGGCTTGTTTCAGACATAATATTATGTCATAATGAGATACGAAAAGATGCAATAACCCATGTCAGCGTGACACCAGGTTCCTTTAGTCGCCTCTTGTGGCAAGTTTTGGTCCATAGGAACTCGGAATCCTAACGAAGGATCAAAGGTTTCTTTATCCTATAACCCTAGAAGAATTTGCTCTAAGCTTTAACTACTTGCCATTATACAACCTCAGAAGAAATCCTGCCCACAAACTTGATCTTGTCCTTTTTGATAAAGCCAATGAATATATTTATATCATTGAATTTTCTGTCCCTTTTGACAGCAACGTGATTGGCAAGGTTCAGGAAATGCATGCTAAATATGCGAACCTCGACTTTGATATGTCTCGCTTCCATCCCAAGTACACTGTCGTCAGGCTCCCCATTGTTCTCGGCGCCCTTGGTTTGGTACCTCCTGATCTCTTGGCGCAGATCAGGAGAGTGCATGGGCTCTCCACCGGGAACACAGCCCTTCTGACACTCTGGGTAATGCAGAAGGCTGCTCTGTTGGGGAGTCTACATATTCTCCAGAAAGGTCTTGGTGGGTTCGACTAGGCAGCGTTTCCTGGGAGAAGGCCGGTATTCGCTGCCTGGGCTGCGTGTAGAGGGGGCAAGGGCCCTGAGCTGATGATGAGCCTTACCAGTCTGTCTGTGCCAGGATGACCCGAACCCTCTCTGCTGTATACTATATTTAGTCTGTAAAACATATAATAAATTGGACATTCATATTCATCATATCCAGAGAGTCCCTGATCAAGTGCGCATAGCCATATGCTCTGGAGAAGAGGACGGTTTTCATGAAGGGAAGCTGCTGATTTCCTTGATTGGTCTGATAGCCCATTCCACATATTAGCGCCTGCTCTACGGAAACTCCTGTCTCCATATCGTTTTGTCCGAGAAGGCGGGACTGTAAACCGGTTCTGATCTGCAGATCTCAATGTCTGTTTCAGCTTGTGAGCTACACGCAGTTATTCAAGTTATACAGGGGCTTCTCCGTTGAGTGGCTTGTGGACAAACGTGCGTAGTTAGAAGACTATTCTTTGTCTCACTAGAAGCCAGTGTAGTTCTTGCAGCACAGGTGTTATGTGCTCCTATTTCCTGTTCCTGGTGATGAGTCTGGATATTGTTCAAGTGTTGCTCTTGTACCCCTTACAAACGACTGTTGCAATAGTCTATTCTTGATATGACTAAGGCATGTATCAGACATTTGGCGGTATTCCTGTCCAAATATTTGCTGATTTTTCCAATGCTCCGGATATGATAGTAAGCATTTCTTGCAAACGTTGCTCACATGCTTTTCCATACTAAAGGTTTGGGTTAGGGTCAATTGTGATTTTATCAATTTCCATGTTGGGAATGTTCAGTCTTGACTGCATGTGGGGGGACGAGATCACAAGAAACTCGGTTTTGTCATCATTGAGTTTGAGAAAGTTTTTTGACATCCATCGTCTGATATCTGCAATGCAATTTTGCATCCTTTCAAAAGTGTCCTCAACTGAAGAATCAATGGCTTGAATCAAAGATAAAGTTGGGTGTCATCGGCGTAAAGATGGAAACTTGCAATGTCTCCATTAGGGATGGTGTATACCGTGAAAAGTATTGGGCCCAAGACAGAACCTTGAGGTACTCCATATCCAACTTCATTGTCTTTAGATGGTAATCCATTTATGATAACGGATTGTTGACGATCTGCAAGGTATGATGCTAACCACTGTAAGGCATCTCAATTGACGCCTATACGTTATTCCAGCATATTTAAGAGAATTTCATGATCTATTGTATCAAACGCTGCAGACACATCCACGAGTACGATAATCCCAGCTTTATCAGTGTGAATGGTTTGAAGTAGGCTGACTGCAGAACTTCTCCCAGGTTGTTTCTGCTCATATAAGTCTTAAGGCAATTACTCTTGCGGCCAATTTAGAGATAAAGGGCAGATTTTGAAACAGGTCGATATTTTTTAAGAAGGTGTTGATCAAGCCTTGGCTTTTTCAAGAGTAGCGTTATCAATGTTTCTTCAAGCAATGTAATCCTCAGGAGAGCATATAACTGTAAAGGCCATAAGGTAAAAATTCAAAATCACATTTATATGATAATATCACTCAGAAGTTTCAAAGCATACTACCTAGATAGATCATTTTAGCTGAACATATATTGCCTCTACGACGATAATGTAGGTATATACTTATATGTATGTACTAATAACATGGAATGTAGTTGGCCACTCCTATTAATATAACGCTTATGACCTTGTGCATAAAGTGCAAAATGTAATTCAACTGATGTTACACGTTACACCACCCACATTACTACTGACCGTAGAGAGGGAGATATATTTGCAGAAAAGACAGGTGAGATTTCGTTTCTTTTTATCTGTGGTTTAGACATAGTCCAGATATGCTATTTCCAGAAAGAGAAGAACTAATACACAATAAGGAATTAAGGCTAATCTCTATTGAAGGAATGAATGTCTCGAGTCTTTCGCTAACTACTTACAGATTTTATTCATGGAGACCGGTAACCTCAAATGCGAAAATTCAAATGTGCAAATGTCGAGTTGGTTAGACTTTGTATGCTGGCGATTAGGTGCCGGTCACTGAGAGCAAGGGTTCGAATCCTGAATGGTGCTCAAACCAACAAAAGTATTAGAATCTGTACTTTACTGAGAAAGTGTAAACCCAAATATAACATGAGTTAGTTACATGACCTCGCCCCGTACAGAGACATATGGACTGCTGCAAGTTTTATTTAAATCGTTACCAATAAACCATTACCAGCCATCAACGTACTAGGGGCAAGTATTTATTGTTACATTCCAAATGCTTATACAATATTCACGAATTTGTCTTATACAACATTTCGTGTCAAAAGTTACTGAGTGTGATTAATAATATATTAAGGTCACAACAAAAGTCTAATCTAGTTTCCGTCGGGGTTAATCCTGAACGAATATTGAAAGCTTCCGCCATACATCTGATTCACGTAATTCAGGAAGTCGTAACTCTGTCATAGCTGGCTGTTAACGGACATATTGATGCCTGCTGATATGTCCATTTGCCACCTTATTATTCCTGACAGAATGTAACTAAGTCCATCCTTTTTGCCGAATAATATTTGCATATGAAACTGACGGCATGGTTTACAGTAGACGTGTAAGTGTCAGAATGTGAACACTGTCAGATAAAACCAACGGCGCATCATCATACTTATTGTAATAGACATGTGCTCAGTCGCTCGAACACTAGAGATTGGCAATAACGAACGTTTATGTATAGGGTTAGTGTTGGGAAGTGATAAAACTGATGACACAAGTGTTCACCTTCGAACCACAGTTCTATATAGCGCTAGTTTTTGTGTACAACGCAGCAGATGCTTACTATATAGCGATTATTTTAGATTGGATCGCCAACAACAATTTAACACACCTCATTCATCTTATGGTCAAATTGATGAGTTTATACATTGCATTGTCTTACTTGACATCAAGTAATATTCATTTCGCTTGGCCAGGGTCCACTCAGTAACCGCTACTGAGATCGTCACTTAAATGATCCAACACTTTTACATACTTTACAGAATATCCACTATTCCAGAACAGGATAAAAACGTAGTTGAAGACCTATGCGCGTAAAGCTACTATCTAATGGGGGACCACGTTTTGGGATGAGAGCTTTTGTTGACAACTCCACACAAAGCCTTTGCATGATTTTTATTGAAAGTAATCCTCAAATGTTGACAAAATGCGGAAGAGAAACGTGGAAGTTCCCACGATATTGATATATACAGCTGGGGGTAACATTCAAGGAAACAACACCTCTAAGAAAACGTATTCCATGTGAAACTATGCTAGGTAGTAATCACTCCACAAATGAGGCATGAGCCAAATGTGACATACATATTCATTTCTTCCCACCAATGACTTCAACCGGAAGGCTGCGGGGTGATGTAAGTAATGGCGATGGTATCAGTCCTGTCAATGAAATGTAACACACCATCAGAATCGCAGACTATACTGTCAGACGGCAAATCATTGGTTGGTTCAGTTTCATCAGGAAGTGAGACGCAATCTGCATAGCCGTCATGACTACACACCGGGTTGTCTTCTGGGTCGTTTCTCTGTAAAACGTTGATGTTATTGTCGAACTGTATACCATCAGAAACTTCTTGTTGATCTTGCCGACAATTGTTGTCTAAGTCAGAATCGTCGATATAATAGTATCTATGTCCCTCGTTGAGATGTACGTCCTGTTGTGTATTATCTCCCTCCTGCAGATTTTCGTTCGTCCCCGAATCTCCATGCCTGTGAACATACAACTGGTATTATTACTTACTGAAAGCTGCAACTTTTAAATATACACACCCACCACCTCTATCTCAACAACCACTCACGTTGTCACAAAATGAACGGCCAGGGTGGATTTGGTTGGTTGAATGGGATTCCACTCGAACAGTTTCATGCCACAAGTAACTGGTTCGTTCAGTCCAGAAGCATTAGTTACACACGGAATTGATTTACATGGGGTACTGCTGAGTGCGGCCTTCAACAAGAAAATCATTTTAAGGTCTTTAGGAACAACTATTGATGAATGGCCATGTGGACACAAAGCTCATTGGGACGCAACAAGATGAACTCATAACTGCCCTTAAAGTTTCGAAAATAAACTTGTAAATACACACCTGTTGATGAAGAGTTTTTTAAAGGCGTGTCGACACTGAAAACACATTAGTGCTGCGACAAGGAAAAACAGACTTGAAACTGCTATGGTCAGTGTTCCACTTGAAGCCATTGACACAGGCCCTGCAAATAATTCCTTACATGAGTATTTATGTTGATATAGGTGTAAGGGAACATGGGTGGATACGATAACACAGGTAACATGTATCTCTTGGGAATGGCCGATTCCTGTCATCATGGGAACGGATATCAGATTGTAGTATTTATGATTAAGGACTATTGCGTATTTGATATTGGAAATTGATGCCTATGATGACTTTTATGAAGGTTTGGTTTAGGTCTAATACATCAAATAGCGTGCTCTAACCATCTGGTTTAACTGTAGATCCACATGGTAGGTGACATACATCTCCGCACATTCCGTCGATGCAATCACAGGTCCCATCAGTGATGTTACAGGTTCCGTTCGCACAATTCGCAGGGCATTTCATGTCACATGTTGGTCCATACTTACCGACCATGCAACCATTAATGCAGACACCTGTTTTTACATCACATCCACGTGCAGTGTCTATTTTGGTGCATCCTTCAGGGCAGGTGTTGCTACAAGATTCTCCCCATTCGTTCGGTAAACACGAAGAGAACGTCCTTTTGACTAAAATAACACACATATACATTTTAATGAACAAGCTGACATTCATGAGATTTGGTACGAGCAGCCATTTCTCGTCATATTCCTGAGTCCCGTGCATTTGGGTAACATTACTATATTTATGCCAATGTAGCACCGTCGAACCTAGGCAAAAATACATTTAACGTTGTATGAAAAATGCTGACTAGCTTTGATAGAGCATATTCAGCAAAAATCACGTCTTGCCGATGATTATAGTTAGGACCGTTCAACTGCATTAACATACATCACAAGACATTTACGCTTTACTTTTCCGGGAATGTGTTCATCTGTAGTAAGGGCGCCATCCGGGTGACCAGATTTGACCTTAGTCAACCTTAGTCTGACATAATAATGAGGAAATCTGTAAAATAAATTCTACACCTGGGTATTTAGTGTAGATATATTGATGACTCATTACCTTCCACTATAACTGTAGAGGTGGGCGTGTGCTTACAGCTGCTCTCGTTACATGTCGTATTGCATATCTTTCCAACCCAGCCATTCTTGCAACCAGCAATGCAGTGACCCGTCGTCAAGTTACACATGCGAAGACTTCTGTCGTCCTTACACTTGCTTGGACAAGTCCTGTTGCAGCATGTCCCCCACGAGTGACGTAGACAATTCCTGTCTGTAAGCAAACACGGAAACAAAAACAGCCATATCATCCTGCTGTAGTAAATGCCGATCCGTATGTTCCAGTGTACATGGAAATTGGCTGAACGTGTATCAGCTGTTTAAATATACTCAGCAGCAATAAAAACGTCAGTACGAATTCAATGACACATCAATGAATAACTCAGCACAATTTCAAGACATCACGTGGACGTTTGCAGTCCATTCAGACCCTTGACTTTAGTATCTAGTGTGACCACCACGAGCGGCAATAACTGCAGCACAGCGTCTATGCATGGAGTGCACCAATCGATTGATGAAGGCGATTGGCACCTGGAACCACACTCTGAGAAAGGCCTGGCCCAATAAATCGGCTGTGTTCGGCCTTGGTATGACATTATTCAGTCTCTCCTCAATTCCACCCCGAAGATGTTCAATTGGGTTTAAATCAGGACTAAGCTTAAGGGCTGGCCACTGCATAATGATGACACCGTTGTGCTGTAGGAAATCCCGTGTAGCTCTGGCAGTATGGGCCCGGGTGTTATCATGCTGGAAAATGTTGTTCCGGTGACATGCGAAATGTGGTATGACGTGAGGTCTGAGAGCTTATTCGATGTAGCGCACCGCTGTGATGCCGCCTCCTCTCCCTGGACCAAGGTTCTGGAACACCACAGAACCCATTCTCTGGTTCAGGCCTATTCCATCCCATACCATGATGCTTGCACCTCCCCATGAGTCTCTTTCCATAACAAATCGGTCTGAGTAACGCTGGCCACGTTGTCGCAATATTCTTGTTCTGCCATCTGCAGTTGATACGCAGTACCGACTCTCATCTGTGAACAGACCAGTTCTCCATTGCCTGTATCGCCAGTTTTGGTGTTGTAGGGCAAACTGTAGACGTTCACGCCGATGACGATGGGTAAGGATAGGTCCACGGTAAGGTCTACGGCAATGGAGGTTCCCGCTGTTAAGACGTCGGCGTACTGTATTAGTACTGATTGGTCTTCCATGTGTTCCCACTGTCTGGCGTGCTGTTTCGGATGCCTGAATGAAGGGATTCTGTACATGCTGTCGCACAACATGGCGGTCTTGTCATCTTGTGGTGACACTTGGTCTGCCAGTACGGGGGCGATCATTTGTGGTGTTGGTGGCCCGGAAACGTTGCTGCAGCCTGTAGATGGTCCGAACGTTGACCTGGAAGTGATTGGCAACGGCTTGTGCAGTGTGGCCAGCTTCGGGTCTTCCTAGCGCCTGGTTCCTCTGAGCTGTCGTGAATCGCGGCATCCTGCTGACGTTGTAATGTGAATGTTTCAACCAGGTTTTGGGGGTGCATTTTACAGGGCTGGTCCTTGTGAACAACACGTGCAGCATGAGTTGCATGAAAAACATGGAGAACACCGTACCATCTCCGAGATCAGGTTGCGTTTTTGAGACCATTTCCTGGGTTCAATTCTGAGTTTGGGAAGGAATGTCTATGCTCAGATAAAGTTGGAGATGTTGTCAAAAATATACAATCAAAACATTAAATTAGTTTACAGTTATACGTTTAAGCTAAGGAAAATTCCAAACTGACGTTTCTTTTGCTGCTTAGTATACAAACGTTTCGTCAAAACAATTTGAGTTATGAACGAGTGTGTTTAGTTTTACGCCGCTTTTAGTAATATTCTAGCAAAATCAAGACGGGGGACACCAGAAATGCGGGGAGTCGAACCCGAGTCTTGACGACCTAACATTTTAACCACAGCCTAGGCTTCCCCACTGTTGATCGAAATATATGCTTACCTGTGACCCCTGACAGATCACTGTAACTTACGTTACATTCACAACGCTGACCAAACCATCCATCATTACATGCGGTATCCGAGCACGTTCCATTGTTGAAGCACCGAAATCCACGACACATATGCTCACATGCAACGTCACAGTGTTCTCCATAAAGACCATTTGAACATTTTGTGCAACTTCCGCTTGTGCGCTGGCATGCTAGGCAGTCTTCAGGACATGGGATTCTGCAACTCATCCCGTAGAACCCGTCAACACAGCCTTCAGCGCACACGGTCCCCCCGTCCGTAGTTCTTTTGCATGAGCCGCGAACACAGTTGACTAATTTTGGATTCACGCACGATGTTGCTGCGCCAACGCCGCTCCCTAAAATGAAAGAATTATTAGGTTATTATCATTTATATTGGTTTGTGAAAGGCATAACATTATAGCTTGCTTTCGCATGCTTTGCAGAGACTCCAAAGTGCCGATCATGACGATGCTGATTGAACCGTAAGGTGCAAATAGGCGCCGAAACATTGCTATAGTGACACAAGCTACTTTCATTTTAGAAGCGCTTTTGTTGGTGATTTAATGTTATGATAGAGATTTATCAACTCAAGGAGTAAGGGGCCGTTGGGTGGCGATGGAGGGGGGGGGGGGGGATGTTTCCAAAAGGGTCAGGGGTTGCAGAGATATATTTCGTGGTAATTGTCATAACTAAGGATCACAACGGCTAATCTGTGCAGTGAAAGCAGCTCAGACAATGTCAAATCTTATTTGAAAACAGACCCATCTGAAACAAACTTACAAAACAGTAGTAATCCTCCGGTCTGGAGTATCCACAGCAACAAATATCCAGTTCTCGCAACAGCCATTGTCACATCTAGATATACAATGAACATATCAAATGTAAAATACGCCAATGAATGAACATGTTCACCATACTAGTTACTCATAAAGTGCATGTATCACGTGGAAATATCTATAAACGACAAAAAGCTATAACAATTTCCAAATGAAAACGACTCCAGAGACACCAGCGTCGGTGGGTTGTGGCACATAAACCCGGAAAATAGTAAATCGACCGTGAAGCAAGCTCATCTCTATTGCGCGGCCGGAAAGGTAACTGGCAGGATCGACTGGCAACAAACAGCCACGTGTCATCTTATGTATTCATCTTCTTTTTCCACTGATGGATATTGTGAATTAAAAAGATACTGACTTGGGCAGCAGTAACTCACCTTAAAATAAAAGGAGGAAATGAAGTTTCAGTGAACTTAGAGGTTACGAAGTACAAAAAGCTGACACGACAGTCTATGAAATAACTGAAATATTGTCGAAAGCATTTTGCAAACAAACTCGTTCACTCTCTCCAAAGTGGTTAGTTCTCCTTATAGAAAATTATCCCTCCACGAGTGCCAGAATCGTGTTGTCGTGGATTCGGATTCCCAGTTCACCCCGATTGTGATTTTGGTTTGTCATCATATGGATTTCTGCAATGACGTCACGTCCAAGACACGCAACAATCCGGCTTTTCTCTAAAATCATACCGTCACCATAATTATTCAAAAGTTGGAACCACCCATAGCCTATGAGAATTTTACACAAACACGTGCACGCATGAACGAACGCACGCACGCATGCACACGCACACACGCTTGTCATCATCGCCGTTGACTGCGATAATTCCGCATGAACGTTAAATGTCAGTAAACTTAATCACCCCGTTGTACGCTGTCATGTCCTAAGCATGTCAACTACAAGATGTGCATGAAAATTTGAGGATATGCTTCCCCACTACTGCCCCACACCGCAGACACGAGTAGGAGGATTAACGCTGCAATTAGTAAAAGGAGTCACACACGATATTGATAGTTTCGTACAGGAAGTAATGTTGCGACAATAACGGTCATTTGTGACAACAACGTACCAGCCACATCTGACTAATGCTCCCGGCGGCTCCAAACCTGAGTCACGTACCACGTTTGCTAATAGAATCACAGTGTACTGAATTCTGTCGATTTTCAAACTATAACATTAAGTTAATTCACACATATTTATGCAAAATAATTCACCCGTGAAGGTCCGGGTTAGAATGTGCCTTCAGTAACCCAAGCTTGTCGTAAGAGGAGACAAACGGGATCGGGTTGTCCGGCTCACTGACTTGGTTGACACATGTCATCGGTCCCCAACTGCGCAGATCGATGCTCATGCCATTGATCACTGGACTGTCCAGTCCAGACTTGATTATTTACAGACCGCCCGATTATTGCTGAATGCGGCGTAAAACTAAACTCACTCACTACTATGCAAAATAATTCAGTGTCGAAACCAGCACATAACAACTATATGGTGCCGGTCTGTAAATAAACGCGCCAGGACCAGATAATCCAATGATCAACAGCATGAGCAGCGATCTACTCAATTGGGATAAGAGGACACGTGTCAACCTAGTCAGCATGTCTGACCACCCGATCTCGTTAATCGCCTCTTACAACAAGCACGAGTTGAGTTTAGAGGGTTAACATCGGGTGATAGACGTAGGGTATATGTTTCCGTATGATAAATATCATATATTATTTAAGGAAATTAACTGAAGTTTAACCAAACCAAATGACATATATACAGCCACATCCGTATTCGTGGTCATCCAGACATTAGAACACACCCGCTAATGAAGACACTAAATCCATGTCTGTGTCAGCAAAATTCAAAATGGTGAATGTGAGTGTGGATGAGTAAACATTGTCAAACACATCCTTTATGTTCTGCCCTATCACGATGTTTGAAAGAAATGAACTGTCTGAAAGATTGTGTGTTGTCATTGATAAGGATACCGTTTTTGACTGGTTGTCTAATGATGAAGATGTCATCATGTGTGATTGTATGTTCCTTATAGCACACTATTTTAAGAAATAGTATCATCTTTTGCAACCTCATTTCATTGTATAGATGTTGTGTACATACCTCTTGCTGCCGTTCAAATCATATGTGTGTCCATGTATGTTGGTATTCGATAACCTGTATTCTGAAATCGTGGAGGAAATAAAGACAATCCCACCACCCGCTGATGCAGACACTAAACCTATGCATGAAGATGAAAATACTCCTGCTGGGTGATAACATTTATCGGATCGTGATACCGGATATCAATAGGAATACATTTTACTTTTACAATCAGATGATTCCACATAAAGTACAAATATCTTCTTAATATACCCCAAGATAGTATTGCAAAACCACTTACCGCCGTGTCGTTGTGGGTACCGTTTATGAACACCATATGTGATGTTTCCGTTAGTTACATCACGTCAGCACAGCGAACCAGGAAAGTGAAACGTTAGTTTTAATTTGCAAATTGACATAATTATTAAATAAATGGCAATCTGAAACCACTTGCAAAACCTCCGTTTCAGTTTATTGGAAATTCCCAGCATGCACAAAATGTGTACGTATGTTAAACAAGTTTGACGAAGATTTACAATTATATTACTACTTTATGAAGGTGTATTTAGTGATATAGATATAAAGCATATAGAAATTATCTGTACACCATATTCAATAAGACTATATAACAGAAAATGGAAAGTATGGCAAATTGGTGAATGATTTGTTAAAGTAAATGTTGCATTTGTCTACTTTCTAAAAGGCATTTGTATGTATATAATCTGCTTTTATGAAACGTTTGCGCACATGACCACATATTAACTCCTTGCATAATCACAGGGCACTATCTTAGGTCCCCGTCGGAACAAAAGTTGAACTTTATTGCAACACGTTATTTTCTCAGTATATAATGTAGTGCTCAAAATCCAATCCAGAGTGTCATGGTCTTTGTCTATGCGGATACTTTAGATTCCATCCATAGAAACTGGTTATACTTTACTTCAGGAATTGTAATAAAAGATGTATTTTATACAGCTTCAAAGTACACATTGAAAAGTCGGTTTTATGTAGTTGTGTGACTCAACAGATTTTACAGAAGACTAGTGACATTCATGTGCTTGAAGGGTGTGTCCCTCACATACACAAAGTAATGACATTAACAGAAGATGAAGATATCACATAAAACATGAACGAATTCGGAAGACATCCAACCATGAACACTAATGAACACTATTGGTATGTTAAACGTTGATGGTTCCGCGCATGAACCATATATGTACTAACGCCAGAAAACAGTCTACGGACTTATTGAAGTGTATAAGGCGTCATAGTTAAAGAATCAAAGCTACAGGAGGGCATTGTGACTTGAGTCTGTTACGTGTTGAGTATTGACAGTTATCCTTTGGAAGAAATGTTAGCAGAGTTCCTTGAGTGCAATGATAATCATTCCGTATTATTCCAAATCTTGCATAGTCTAAATACAACACAACACTACCCATCATTGAATATCACATGTACAATGTATAACAACCGAAACTTTGTTGAACAAGGTACAACACAGCCACATAACAAGTCTTAAGTATAGTTCTTCAATAATATAGATGTAAGTCAGAGAAGGTGTCACATTTTATCTGGTTATTCTTAAATTGCGAAGGAGAATTATGAAGTTCACATGCCGCATCTCTTTGACCGTACCACCATTTCTCTTTATCCTCACACCTAACACAACGCCCGGGATGCACGTGCACAACGCAGTAGTCCAATACACATGCATGGGGTGTCATTCATTATTTTGACGGTTTTAAATCACTCTGGCTAGACCGTTAATTTGGACAATTATCTTGCATCACACAGGTGTTAGTGTTTGTTTCTAGCCGGATTTTTGTGTTTGAAAATGAAAATCATACACATGCAAATGTTGCGTCATGCACCTGTCATCTTTCAGGAGCGATTACTGTACAAACAACTATGGTCACAGGGAAGTGCAAGTGGTGATGCACTCTCAAAACATTTCATTATTATCATATAAACATTGATTGACTCCGATATATCTCCCAATTTCTTCAATCGTAAAATATAGTTCCTTTACCTTTTCAGAGAGTATTTGAATATCCTGATGACATAGGCCACCATTATGTATTTTCTTTGGTGTACATAACTATCAAATTAAAATATTGCATAATTTACAAAGTCTTATATCATATTTCAGTAGCTGAAGACAATATGCAAGGAAGCGTTTGCCATTGGAATGAGATTCCAATTATTTTGAGATTTTCTTTCTACCACTGGCATCATCCGATAAATATTACTATGTAAAACTCTGAGTGGTATTTACCAAAGAATACGCTTAATAGAAGTAACTAACTATGCATTAGTCAGTGATATTATCAGCACGTTGGAGCATAAATGATTTTTTTGTACACTTGTTGGGGAATGACTTTCTATAGAAAACATTAGTTCCCCAAATATACTGTATATATAAGGTGATATAATTTGACTTGTAGAGGAGAATACTAACGACAACAAAACTTTCCATAGGGGTAAAGGCATTCTAAAAGTCACCTTCAGTGATTAAGATTGAACAAAATGTTTGTAAAATCGCAATAAACACACAAAAAAGTACTGGTATTTCCAACTATTACGGAAGCCCATGACGGTTAATGAGCAGAGAGGGTATCACGTGACGTCATAGGTACCTGTTGCTGATGGCCGAAGTTGAGATATCAGAAACTGTTTTCGCGATTAAAATATAAATATAAATACTTCTGCATTAAAAATTGGGGTACTTTTTCCGATGAGTGATCTACCTTCAGTTGTTGGAAATCTATAGCCAGGTTTCATATAGTATTGTCTTCTATAGTTAAAAGCTTATAATTTTTATGCTAGTTTTATATTCATGTCTGTGACATTCTAGCTGTTTTACTGTCCTTCGTTGACAGGGTTTCATAATTCAACTTTTTTCAGTTTTAATCTATAACTTGAGTTACTCACGATACGGCTGAAATACTGCCGATGTGACTTAAACTCTTAACTCGCTCACTAACAGCAAAAGTGAAACAAAATATGACCGAAACTTTTATAAAAAATCATTCCTTGTGAAAAAGTGTTAGTCTTACTTCCCCATTCCTGGTCAACCATTGAGAGCTCGATATTAGGGTCCATATCTTGTTGACCTAAAAGGTTAGCGACGCAGACTATGTCGTCCTGACTCCTGGCCATCGTAAACAAAAGAGGTTGTTTCATGTAAACATGACAAAGAAATACCATTACAGGGTAAAAACCAAAGAGGTCAATTGTATTGCCACACTCTCCCCAGTTACTGATTGTAGACAATGGTGAATATGTTGACAATATTGATAATGGGGTTAGCAATGTGAAGTTTGATTACCTTTGTGATAATGTTTCACCAAAGTTAGGAAATTCTGATGTGTTAGCTCACCTTGAATTATTACATTTACCCCCTGTGCAGAAAGCTCAAATGTCAGATTTGATTCATAAGTTCTCTCACTTATTCCTGTTGTGCCTTGCCGAACTGATGTTGTTAGCCATGATATAGATGTAGGTGTAGCTGTACCTGTAAAACAACATCCATACCGGATGAATCCTATAAAAAGTAAAATTCCGCGGAAAGATGTGAAATACATGTTTGGACAATGACATTATTGAACCCAGGTGGTGTCAATAATTGATCATCCAGTTTGTTATTTTTCCAAGAGGTTTGACAAGCATCAAAGAAATTTGCAGCATTTTGAAGTGTACAACTACTTCTCCAATTGAAGTTTTATTGATCGCAATCCCATTGCGTTTCTTCACAAAATGAAAGTAAGAATCAAAGACTTATGAGGTTGAGTTTGACTTTGCATGGGTTCAATCTTGTGATTAGGCATATTAAAGGCAAAGACAATGGCTGTGCTTATGCACTTTCCAGATTGTAAATGCATAATGACTTAATGATGATGCTGTATGTTTGTATCTGCATTATATTATGGTAATTTTGCACGGCCTTAAGTGGAGAGGGTTATGAGGATGTGTTTTTGTTAATTAAAATGTCACATTAATGAACTTGTAGTTATAATGGGTCAAAAAGGTTTAAAGCAATGAGTGTGGATTTAAACTCGCATCAACTAGGCTATATAATTTCACCTGTTTAGTAAATTAGAGTTACTTGCTGCTTGTTGATGTTTAGTCCCGTAGTAAGACTGTGGGATTCATTCCGGAGAATTCTATAAGGTCGTAGTGTGATCTAAATGGTCGTGTTGTGACGTAGTTTTCGCTAGGAAGTCTGGAACTGTAACAAACTTATGGTATATCTGCCAGATGTTTTTCACGTTAGTCGTCTTATTATATTAGTAATCTTACGATAATTGTAATAGAAAGTTTCATTAGGAGGGAGAGTGTTATGAGGACGTCTTTTTGTTACTTGTCACATTAATTATGGGTCACAAAAAAAGTTTATAGCGCTGAGTGTGGACTTGAACTCGCATCTTGAACTTCGGCTATGTAATTTCAGCTGCAAGAGTAAGTGACAGCTTCCCTTTGTTTTGCTTACGGTTTCCGTACGATGCTGTAAGCTGTGAGTATTTTCTAGTAGATTGTGGTGTGGCGTGGCGTGTCTCTTTCTAGAAAAGTCTAGAACTGTATAATAGGTATATAATGGATTGTTGTTGAGATATATGAGGGGGACTACTACTATGGATTTACGCTCATCTGTCTGCTAACAACAACGACTTATCAAAAGTCCTCGTCAGAACTTTCAACAGTTGTCAACAATCTTTAATCAATACATCTGTTTACGGGAAATATGAAGACTTTGGTGAGTTAATAGTTTAGATTTGTGACCCATTATTTTAGATATGTGACCCAGTTGTTTTGTATTATGAATCTGCACTGTCATTCATTGTAATCTTGACAGTTTTAATTCAATACATAATTGAACGTTATAGACTTGTTTGTGTTTTATGTTGCTGGTTCACAAACCTTTTATCTCAGTCATTTCTAATCCGAAACACATCAATGTCTTAGATTTATATATTTCAAATTTATTTTCAGCGTGAAATCTTGTCTTTCCCAAAACATATAATATTATATAATCTAAAGGGTGAGGCCATTCACGGTATATGAAATATGTTTACATATTCAAAGCATTTCGGCACGAAGGTCTTCAAGTGACAGATGGGCTGCATAAGGCTGTGTGTAACTTCTATCAACACATCCATCCATGCTACAGCTCTTGCTCCTTAATCGATTGAGGGCGGTGGGGTAGCCTAGTTTTAAAAGCGTTCACTTGTCACGCCGAAGACCGGGGTTCGATTCCCCACATTGGTACAACGTGTGAAGCCCATTTCTGGTGTCCCCCGCCGTGATATTGATGGAAAATTGCCAAAATCGGCGTAAAACCCAACTCACTCACTCA